AGCCTTCGCTGGACAGAGGTCGCTTTCGTCATTTGTTTCGCACACGACTTAAATAATCTGGTAAAAGCGGTTCTCAAGTCTGACTACGCAGAAGTCACCAAGAAGGCATCGGATGCTGTCAGCGCCCTGAATTCATCTTCGGCCAAGTGGCTCGTCGAAGCCGATGCGTGCATGAGGGAAACCTATGGCTACAGCTTAAAGGTGAAACAGCTGTGTGAGACGAGATGGAATAGCATGCATGGGTGCTTCGCATCTCTGTTGCGAATCCGAAGTGCACTGGAGCTACTGGAGGTCAAGTTCAGAGATGTAGCAGATTTTCCTTCGGTATTACGGGTATTTGGAGAAAAAACGTTCTGGGATTCGCTTGAAGACGCCGAAAACGTTGTCCGCCCTCTTGCGTATGCATCGCTAAAGTTACAGCGCGATGAAAACACAATGGCCGACGTCGTTGTGTGTTACCTCGACATCTTCACTGGGTTTTCAAAGAACCAGTACGGGAGCGAAAACCTTGTTCGAGAAGTTGAGAAAAGATGGCGGCAGTGTGAGCAACCTCTTATGCTTCTTGCGCTCTTCTTACACCCTGCACACAGACAAGCGGCTAAAGCGATTTTAGACAAAACACCACTGACCTCAGTGTGTTCACTTTGCCGCATTGGGATGTATTACTTCAAGCGCTTCAACATTGGCAAGAATATGTCAGGATTGTATGAAGATTTGCACAATTGGATCATGAATGACGATGTCATAGGGCTATCGTTTGTTGACTTCAGCTCAGTTGACGCGTACTGGAACTGTATGCGCTCCGAGATGCCACGCAGCAAGTTGCCAGACCTCGCACTGGTAATTCTATCTATTGCTGTAAATACAGCAACTTGCGAACGTTACTTTAGTGAGCTAGCTCTCATTCACACGGCCAAGAGGAACAGGATGTCGCCAGATAAAGCACGAAAACTTGCTTTAGTTCGGAAGAAGGTACGTGAGTACAACGCCGGCCAAGATGACGCGAAGACATCTAGTAAATATACACGACTTATCGACCCCACAGAACGCACACGCCTCAGATATCGCGATGATCGCTTCGAATGTCTCGAGCCTGAGGTGGATGCTGAAGATGGGAACGTCGTTGGACCTGACACTGCGTTTGAGTACTGGCAGGCAGTACTTTGCGAGCTCGAAGATGACGACGATCCCCCCGTTTTCGATACTACCGCTGCCGCTGACAATACAGGATCTCCGTTAACTGCAGCAGCCGCGTCATTAGCAGAAGAAAAGCGTTTTGCCGCAGTCCTCGAGACGATCAAAATCCAGTCAACCGACCCGATTCCAGAGGGAGACCGACGTCCATTCCCGAGACACAATGACAGACTCTTTCCTCAGGAACAAAGGTTTATAGGATTGCGCGGGCAAAAGGTGACTTTAGCTGAGCTGTCGAAAACACCCAGCACACCGTTGGCTCAACCAGGTAGGTTCGTTATTGCTTTGACGAATTTCAATAAGGTGACACATTCTCTTTTGCACGCACAGTATGGCACTTCGCAAGTCCACAGCCATTTCGGCGCCGTCAGTAAGTGCCCATTATCATCTCAACTGATAAATGCTGCGAGAAGGCGCGCAAGCCACCAGTCACGACGTCTTCCAGCTCATCTGCAAAGCACCGAGCAACCGTCAAACCACCCGAGTATTCGCTGTGAATTGTACTTGCTTCAACTTCTGCTTTGGCCTGAGCTTTTGCAGATAAAGTAGCTGAGCCGCCACTCAAAGTGAGCCACAATAACAATCCTGTCACAAGACTCATTTTTAGCGGACCTGGTAAGAGAACTGTGGTGACGAGTGCGTCCAGTAGCACCAGCAATAGGAGAAGAGGTTGAAAAGTCTCACGTACTTCCCTTTGAGCTTCTGAACTTGGGTTTCCAGCCGGGGATGATCTTCCATTGAACGTGCTGCTCGTTCACTGGAGACAACCGCATGGCGTTTTGCATCGCTGTAGCTATCGACTTTATCAAGTGATGTTCCGATGCACACTTTCTTGTATCCAGCCATTGAGTTCATTTGAAACGATATTCCAGAGCTGACGTCACTGCTGGAAAAGGATTCCACACGATGAGTTCGTGATGTAGCAACATTTGCTAGAGCAAGAGCTGTAGAAACACTATACGCTCCAAATCTCAGCAGTGCTTGGACGCCATCCGTCCCTGATATCCCTTCGTCATCAGCATCTTCGCGTCGGTCAAATTGCGTTAACAATTGCTGGAACGCACTGTCATTTAACCACAGCAGATGACCACGACAACGTTGAATTTCATCCTGGTGGCTTTCGTCATCAAGTAAACAATCAATATATACCATTTGAGCTTCCTTTACTAAACAATGGTCCTTGTTGACACGATACACCCGATTCGCTCGATACACAAAGCTACACAAGCAACAAAACGGCTGAAGAACATCTTCTTCTACCAGTTTCCTCGCAAGTACCGACGCTTCGCTCTCTGTAAAGTCCGCTGCACTACCATCTCCATGTAAAATATCCTCAACGTCGCATCCTCTCACAACCGCCGCAGCTGTATCGCTCTCCGTCGCCGCTACCAGCATATCCACTGCCTGCTGCATATCCAGCAACAATCCTTCGCTAGCACTAGCTTCATCATGTCCTCGGCGGTACGTTTCCTCCCAGTCCTCCGCCGAATCTGTAGCCAAAGTTTAAACCAGGTGTTGATCCTACGTAGCCCCCCCCCAAAGAGCAGCATACTGAGCTCCACACGCATGTGTGAGACATCCAACGGCTCATACTGTGCGATGAGAACCAATGCGTTACGATCTTCTGGTTAGCTGCGCGTTGACACTGCTAACTTCAAAGCGGTTCCCACTGATGTCGACGTCGTAATCAATAGCGTCAAGTAGTCGAAGAACCTTTGATCCAAGTCACTCCAGCAAAGGCAAGTTCAGCCTCTTGACCACAAGACGCACGGCACCGTTGGTTGACCCCGAAAGAGTCACGCGACGCGGAGCTGGGGTCTCTCTCTAGCCAACAGAAACCTCTTTGAGCACAAAAATGCAATTAGTCAACCACACAACTCTTACAAAAAACCAAAGAACCATGAAAAACCAGGTGGTAGAACCAAAAGTACAGGTGCTTTGGGTTGTTGGCAACCCTAGCGGCTAGGGTTGTTGCAGCTGCCCCTTTCGTGAGCAGCAGCGGTGCTCTCATCTGAGATGTCACCAGCCATGACAGCCCTTTCGCGATTGGCAACCCGCACTGACGTCGTAGCGGGTGCTTCGTCGTCGGTGGCTTCTTAGGCGATTCTGATTATTGTGCTCAAGACATGTGGAAAGTTGGTACGTAATCTGACTTAACACTTGAATACACACGACGCTTCTTACGCAAAATAGAGAATGTTCAGTTTAGAGCTCGTCCTACAACTTCCTATTCACCTCTCAGTCCTCTTAGTTCCTTGCCAGGAGTCTGGTACGCCTGTATACACGTGTTTGGCCAACGACAAACTCTTTTACAACATGGCAAATAGAAATTGACGCGAGCAAACACAAAGAGCTGCTTTTGACCACTAGCAAACCCTTTATTTATCGCTAGCAAACATGATATACAGTACTTTTTTGTCCACGCCGTGTTACACAAAAGAGTCGCGAAATTTACAATAATCTGACACAATTATTGATTTATTAGGAGCGAGCACTAAGCGAATACTAATATGTCCATTATGCCAGTTTGTTGTTGATGTGTAATGACCAGCCGCGCTACGCTTGGCGGGGCGCCTCTTCGGCGCCCCCGCGGTCCGCTTCGCTTGCGATTATAAGACTGGATGAACTGGAGAGTGCAATGAGCGACTCGCTGTTGAGCTCGGCGCTGGGCCCACCTTCGCAAATACTGCGCGACCCTGCTTCACGGGTACCCCGCGCGGGTTTGCTATGGCTACGCGCACTTGCGTACCTTAGTTGGCCAAACCGCTTGAAATGTTTGTCCATTCTTTGTATAAAAGAGTTTGCTGGTGGTCACTTTGATGTGTTTGCTTCTGTCATTTTCTTGTCTACTGTTGAGCTTAACACGCTGAGGTTCAGCCAATACCTCGTCCTGTACCACTGTATTCGACAAACACAAGCCCTTCACGGAGCGAATTTCGTGCCTGCACAAGTTAGCCTTTAGATACCGTATTCCTTAGATTGCCGACATTCCCTCATTAATTACAGTAGACATAGCCACACACTCAGAATTTTGTACTGTTGTAGCTTATGTGCTTGCTGACAGTATAGTAAGTGCAATATTAAACCTGATCAATTTACCGAATGTATGCTTTTTTGCTGGCGGTTGTTGGAGACCAGGATTATAATTCTGAAAACGTACATGATTTAATACGATTTTGGAAATTTATCTTAAATGAGTAGCCATATGGGGAAGATTTGAGAAGACTCGTCGAGGACGCGGAAGACTCGTAGCGTATGGCTATCAGCCTTGCAGGATAAACAATGTTTGAACCATGATTGAAACATGGATGGAAGTATTGTACTTCGATAATTTCATCATTGCTTAGAATTTTCATTGTTGTTTTTCATGTAAAACTCCTGGGTCAAAGCCAATTGTCTTATAAATACAAATCTTAATGCAAAGCTACACGTATTCGATGTTAGGATGCAAGCTACCACAGACCACTTACTTGTCTGCAGCTTGGGATGGAATTTATACTCCTGTCCGTGGCGCAGGACGTTTTTCCTCCGTCTAAGCAATAGCAGCAGCCTCCGTCGGAAGTAGTCGACCTGAAAGAAGCAGAACAGCTCGAACCGCCGCCTTGAAATAGAAGCGTGGCTCATATCCTGAGGGGGTACGGAGGCTGTCTGATGGGTGAACATCTATCAAACGAAGACGCCGCAGCTGAAGCCGACGAATTGGACGGGCTGCGCTGTGGTATAACGTCAAAGTCATTTAGGCCCGCTTACGTTAGAGCAAAAAGTACGCTTGTCACACGCCCCAATTAGCATGCACGTCGCAGGTGCCTCCACAGTCACAGATACGTCGTCATCGCTACTCTCCTCATCATTAGACGCCTCCTCACCATCGTCCCCCACATTGAATTTATCAAGGTCTTCACGGCTATCGTGTCCGCCGTCCCTCCCAGCGCCAGTGTCCTCTTCTCCCGGCTCAGTCGACTCTTCGCCCTTTTCAGCGCTTTGTAGAAGCTGCTCCATATCACTAGCACTCGTGACATCTGACAGGGCATAGAGAACCGTCCTGTGCGCGCATGTCTCCTACTTCATTCGCGGCAGCTTCTCGGGAAAGGCGACAGAAACGAAAATGACAGTTCTCGTAAATAATTTTGATCGGAAATAGCCGAGTTAAAACGAAATTTATCTTTCAATTCTGGAACCGTTCAGGATTAAAATCCTGAACGTCTCCCCGAATTATATTCTGGCCTCCAACAGTTTTTTTTTTAATTTAAAAATGGCGGCTGTTGGAGGCCAGAATATAATTCGGGAATCATTCAAGATTTAGGTCAGGATTAATCCTGTATCTTGAGACCCTTCATAAATGAATAACCATATTAGAAAGATTTGAGATGATTCGTCGAGGACGAGTAATATTCGTAACGTGTGGCTAGCAACGTTGCAGGATTAATCCTGACTATACCACGTTTAAATCATGGAAGAGACTTTTGTATCTTATTAATTGTACCATGATATGGGATTGATCATGATAATCAGCTCGAAACAAATCCTGAATTGAAGACTTGTTAGAAAAATTAGGATATTGTACAGGATTAATCCTGTTTTCTACATGTATACATCCTGATTTGAGTTTTTCGATACGATTTTCAATGGAAAGCTACATGTTATGAGTGCTGAGATGCAAAGTTACCGTGCAACTTTCATTTGTCACCAATATGGGTAGGCGCCACCCATGTTCTTGTCGTCGCTCTGTAAAACGGAAAGTTTTTCATTTGTCAAAGCAGTTGCAGCAGCCTGTGCAGGCAAGAGTCGGTCTGTGAGTAGATAGATGAACAGCTCAAAGCGACGCCTTGAAAGCGAAGCATCGGTCATATCCAGGTGCCCGTAAGTAATCTGGCGGATGAACATCCAGCAAATGTAGACACCGCAGCTGAAGCCATCGAGCTGAATGAGATTGCTCATCGGAATGGGTTCGAAGTCATTTAGACCCGCAAGCTTCAATCTAACAGCAACCGCATTCGCCGCTTGCTTGTACGACGGCTGGTTCAGCGGATCGTAGTAATAGATCCGCTTCGTGTTCACTTTAACAACCAAGAAGCACCAGTGCAGATTGCCAAAGTTTAGAAGAAGGAACACCGATTCAAATCCCTCTTCTTTCACTTGGCTTAACACGCAGTCACGGATACTATCGCTCAACACCGTGTCTTCACCCTGCCGCGTTCGTTTCGTTTTGACCTTCACAGCTTGAAATCCTGCAAACCGACATTGCGGGTAATCATGGCATATGCGTATGATGAAGCACGAATTGAGGCATTCGATAGCCACGAAGGCGGCATTGCTCGGTACAGAATTGCATACTGGAAGTCAGGGTCGTTTGGAAGCCCATCGATAGACTTATAGGGTATGTATCCTTGACATTTTGAGCAAACCGTTTGCCTAAGCCGGGATACCCGTTTTGGTCATCCATTTGTAGGTTTCCAGACCCTTTTCAACGGCCTCCTTGAGATTCAGGACCCGCTTGAATGTCTCTATTTGCTGTCTCAAAAGTTGCCCCACATCTTTAATGAGCACCGTTTGCCCCACATCTTTAATGAGCACCGTTTCCTTCTGCTGCTTAGACGTGTCGTCATCTATGCCCTGGGTTTGAATGGATTGAGAGCATCCTATTGATATAGGGCTGGATGCAGTGTTCGAGACAGGAAGAACCTTCATGCATGCCTCCAATAGCTTGCTGGATAGAAGATAAAAAAGGATCCTGGACCAGCACAGGGTTTTGCTGACCTTCCGTTTTGGCTTCTTGTTTATATGTTCCACATGCCTTACAATTAAACCTGAAAGCTGTCTCTGCGTTTCTTGAAGGCCAGGTTGGTCTTGAGCCAAAGCACTCAATAATCCCTGTAACATCGCCTGCAATCTTCCGTCCGCTTTCAGCAGTTTCATACCACTTGCGGCCCCCTTTTTCAGCTGCAACTAAAGTTTTCTTAGGTTTCCGGAGAGCGCCGACCTTTCTCTCCTTTGGATTAAGTTGAATAACCGACGGAATGTCTTTATTTGGAGGATCAGCAGGTACATCTGATGTAGCTGAGAGAGATTGATCTTTGCTTTCATTTGAGCTAATATCAAAGTCCAGCCGAGCTGCTGCATACAGAGCTATGTCTTCGTGTTGAGACTGTTGTGCGGTACTCTCGCCCCCACCGTTGTCGCTCAGCGCATAATCATCCCTCTTCATCTGGCGCACATTGCTCCACTGGTTTAAAAACAAACTTTAGCATTTCATCGAGCTCTTCGTCGTTTTCGATATCCGCCATTTCATTTTATATAAGATGCGTAGCTCGCACCGCTTCACAATAGCGTTCCGAATGCGTTCTCAACTTCTCTCGATCATCTCCAGGGTCAGTAGTGGAAAACTTCTCGTACCCGAACAGCTTCACTTTTTT